TTAGAAAGCCGGGCTGTCAGAGCCGGCGATGGTGGCGCACGCCTTTAATCCCAGCACTCGGGAGGCAGAGGCAGGCGGATCTCTGTGAGTTCGAGACCAGCCTGGTCTACAGAGCTAGTTCCAGGACAGGCTCCAAAGCCACAGAGAAACCCTGTCTCGAAAAACCAAAAAAAATAAAAAATAAAATAGAAAGCCATCAGTCTTGAATCTGAACATGAAGGCTACACACACCTGTGTAGATTAAGACTTCCTACCGGGTGGTAGTGTCGCGCACCTTTAATCCCGCATTTGGGGAGGCAGAGGCACGTGGATCTCTGAGTTTGAGGCTAGCCCGATCTCCAAGTAATTTCCAGGACAGCCAGGGCTGTTATAGAGAGAAACCCTGTCTCAAAACAAGCAAGCAAAAAACTCAAAAACAAGCAAAAAGATTTCCTTGCTTTGATCAGTTATTCATCCTGCTGGTCCAGGTCCAGTTTCTTGCCTCCACCAGGATGAGAAGGACCACTGAGCAGAGCCTGAGATGAGGACCCAGCTCTGGCGGGGCTGTCGTGTCAATGAACTGCCTTCTTATCTTTGCTGTTGTGGAGACAACTAACATGGGAGCTGTGAACATAGCTGCAGAGACTAGCATGCCTGTGCCATGGGAGAGGCTTCACAGGGGCTGACTCCTCCCTTCTGCACAACTGATCCCCTGCTCCCAGCCTCCTGGTGGCCTTTATGCATGGGATTTCTCAGCTCTGTGGGAACAGTGGATTCCGTGTGAGCCCATCCCCGCAGATAAGAGATGCCCTGTAAGGGCACTGATAACTCTCCATGGGGAGACTTCTGCAGGGGACGGGAGTGTGCATTCTGCCTTCCAGGGGCCTGGCCTGGCCTTGCTGTGCTCGGGTTCTCAGGCAGAGCTGGACTGTGTTACTCTCTCCATCTTCTCACTGGGGAGACGGTGAGTCCTGTGCTGAGTCTCCCTGTCCAGCCCGATGGCTTCCACACATTGCGGTCCCCCAGCCACACTGATCAGATGCTTCCATTGATTCTGTGAGTGTCTGGTACCCCTCTTCCCTCCCAGAGGATCATGAGAGTGAGTGCACCGTGTGGCTTCCTAATTAAGGTTTGTGTCCCTCTGGCTAACAGGAAGGTGTTTTGTCACCTCTGGAAGCCTCCTTTGACCAGACACTTGCTAATTACAAAAAGGACAAGCTATTGATTATGTGGAGGGCAGAAGTCAGCCACTCATCCTCTGTGCTCTGTTCTAAATGTGTTCTTGAGCACAGAGACTGCAGAATGGAAACACTTGGTTTGCAGCATGAGGCTCTGAAAGCCACAGGCTTCCCTCTGGTGGAAGCGGGCCCAGGAGATGGCACTTGGCAGGACATATGGAGGAGGGAGGAAAAGATGCAGATTGAGGCCTGGAGCTGCCAGGCAGGGGGAAGGGCTTGGTACTCAGTGCCAGGCAGAGCCCTGAGCATCCAGAAGGCGGTGTACTTTTAACCTATGGCTGTGCGACATCACCCTTGGCTTGCAGTTCTCTGAGTGGGCAAGCTGCCCTCAAGGCCCAGCTGACCTATATGACCCCCAGGCCATCTGGCTCTCCTCCTGGGCCACTGCCTTGAGGTAGCAGTGGTTGCCTCCTTGAACACGCTCCAGCCCTAGGAGTGCATGTGGCTCAGGAGGCAGGATAACGACTCCACAGATGCCCGTGCCTGTGATCACATGTGAGGGACACCTATGCTAGGTCCCATAGGCCATACTTCAGCTGCCCCTCAGAGTTCTTATTTCAGGTGAGGGAGCCTAGCAATAGTGCATGGGAGGTTTCTCAACCAGATCCATGGACCCAGACCGCGCCCTGTGTTGCGTCCATCCTTCCCACTAGACAGGTCCTTCCATTCCGACAATTCCCTTTGTTTGCCTTTTGCCTTTGGCATGGCATGGGGAACCTGCTCGGGGCTGCACGTGGATACTCTAGCAGCCAGGAGCTGGATGGCCCAGTGCTTGCTAGCTCCTTTTCTCTGTTGCCAGTCTTGAGTCTCCATGGAAGAGCTTTTGCCTTCCTCCTACCTCCCTAACTCCATGAGAAACGGCACAGCCAGCACCGTATGTTTATTTACTTTGCCCATGGAGGGGGTCAGGCTGTAGGAAGTGGCAGCTGTGTCGTGGTGAGGGCTGTGCACAGGGAGCCATCTGTCTCCTGTCAGCTCCAGACCCAACAGGGCACGGCAGTTCTGTTAGTCACTGGGTAGGAAGCCCACCAGCCCCTCGGTGCTAGGGGCCTTGTTTTCATGTGAGGCAGGCAGCAGACTCTGCTGTCTCCTCAGGCTGGCCATGAATGGTCCTTGGCTCTTGCCCTGCCCTGCCCTGCCCTGCTAGGCCCTCCAGGGGAAGGAGGCTTTGTTGTCTTGGGATGGCAGTGAGGCAGAATTGGACTCCTTGGCCTGCTTGTTTTCCCATCTCTGGGCACAGAATACTGAGTGCAAGCCACAGTCCCTAGAGAGAAGAGCATGAGGCCTCAGTTGGCACCTTCCTCCCAGGCTCCTGCAAAGCCTTGGCCATGCCCTCCTGGCCGCCCTCCTACACACCCATCACCAGGCAGCATTCGTCTTGGCTGAGGGCAAATCCTGGTGACGAGGTCACTGCAGATATCGAACATCAGAGAACACCAGAGCCGCCTCAAGGCCCAGCGCCAGACCCCACTTTGCCCTCCGCCCTGAGCTGACCGTTACAATTTCCCTCCTTGGGTCTTACCCTCATGTCCTAGTGAGACAAGCATCCTGTGCCTTTGGCACATGCTGAAGCCACTAAGGCCTGTTGGCTGCTGAGGCTGTGACAGAGAATGGCTCGGGCAGTCTCTGTCACAGCTGGACGTGGACACCTTGTCTATCCCTGACCCTGCATGGATGATACCCAATATGATGTCTGCATACTGTTTTATTTGGCAGTGATTCCCAAATGAAGCCCCCCCCATCCCTCCCAAACTTCATTGTCTGGAAGGAAGTTTCCTCACATCCTTGACGGGTGTAAGCGTCTGGATGTGAAAGTAAAAGTCTGACTTTCCCTGTGTGTTAGCAAGTGTAAGCGTAATGGCCCTGGGTCTGATGCTCTCTGTGTGTTGTGATGTCATGTTGCTCACTCTCTGGGATCTGGAGAGCCTGGTATTCAGTATCGTGGTAAACCCGGGCTCTGCTCCCATGCATGATTGATCCACTTACTGATCACTGTAGCCCATCATATTGGCTATGGCTATGGGTGTTCTGCGTTACCGTCCACCTCTGGACTCTAAGACCCAAATGAGGAACCTCTGCCTTTAAGGGCACCAGAGTCTTCCTGTAGTTAAAGGGGGAGGAGCCAGTTCAACTGGGAGGAACTTAAGATCTCGGAGAGCAGCTCCTTTCTCACAGGGACAGATGATCAGAGAGCCCCAAAGTCACAAGTTCCCAGCCTGCTAGAGCCCACAGGGAGAGGTAACTCAGAACACTCATAGCCGTAGCCAAAAAGCATAGACCAGGCAGCTCATAGCCAACAACACCGTGTCCCCGGGCTCTGGAGGCCAAAAGAAAAGAGCATGTGAGCAGGTGGATGAGCGGAAAGTGCGGTTTTCTTAGCACTGGACAAAACCAGTGTGGGGAAGCCTCAGTTTAGCTAAGTTAATAAGCAAATGATTTTACTTTGAGATTCCAGTGTTGGTGTACATGGCTTCCCGTGAGAGATCACTTAGCGTGTAGGTGCTTATGCCATGGGTCCTGGCTGTCAGAAAAGCAGCACCTAGCTCGGGAGTTGCTCTGCACTTTTTATTTGGCACCCTGTGTCTTCTGGGAGGAGCATTCTCCTGTGTAGGGTAACCCTAACTAAACTTCTGTATGGCGGGGCATTGGTGGCGTACGCCTTTAATCCCAGCAATCTCTCTGAATTCGAGGCCAGCCTGGTCTATAGAAGGAGTTCCGGGACAGCCAGGGCTACATTCCGTGTGTGCAAACAATAACCGGAACCCCTGTGGAGAGCATGTCCGTGTCTTTAAGTACCTCGTGTCCCATTGATGCCCAGCTGGCACAGCCTGGACAGTTTACACCTGGTGACATTTAGAGGAAAGCTGGAGGAAGGGAATATTTGGTGACTTGACATTAAGTCCTCTGGCTGGTGGTTCTCCTTTGCCAATATACTGAAAGTCTATAAAGCACGTAGGCCTAAAAATAGCTGCCAGGACTTGGTGTCATCCTGGATGAAGGGCACCTGCCCCATTTCCTTGGCTTTCGGATACCCTCATAATGTCACAGTGAAATGCCATCCCAGCGGAATTAGCACAGCTCATTAAGCCCAGCTCCTTGGCCAGGGCGGTGTCAGATGGAACTTTAGGTAAGACAGATGGGACCTCAAAAGTAACCACCCAATTGCTGCTGCCATGACATCTGCCCAGGGGTTCATAGTGAAACCAGGCTGCTCCTAAAGTGAAGTCCCAGTAGGCCAGTAGACACCAGTCGGAACCATCCCCCAGGAAAACCCAGCCTGCAGCTAAATCCCTCTGGTCGGGTGGTCCTGCCGCTGATGTTTTTCCCTTCTGCTTAAGTTGCTCAGCCCAAGGTGCCACTGCCTGAGAATCTCACAGTCCAGGGCAGGGTGGTAGGAACCCCTCCCCCCTGGTGATACTGTTGCTCTTAATGTAAGGCAGAGGCCTTTCTAAGGCCATAGCCCACATGGTGCCCCTGCCTTCCCTTTGTGACAAAGGCTGAGCAGTTGTTCCCTGGAGTGGACAGTTCTGCTTTCCTTCATGACACAGAATTTCTAACCCAGCTGTTCCCTGGGATTGGGAACTCCACGTGCTGTGGAAGGTGTGCAGGACACTAGTGCCTGCCACCTTGAAGCCCTTGGCAGAGGTCCTTATCACCCTCCGGGGACAGTGCAGACACCCCCCCCCCAGCTCTCTGGTGTCTAACGTGCCCTCCGGGGACAGTGCAGACACCCTCCACCCCAGCTCTCTGGTGTCTAACATACCCTCTTTTGTTATGCCACAGCCTGAGACCGAGGACGAGAAGAAGCGCTTTGAAGAAGGCAAAGGCCGCTATCTGCAGATGAAGGCGAAGCGACAGGGCCACACAGAGCCGCAGCCCTAGGAGTCTTCCTCCTGCCCTGGGGTCAGCACACTGTGGCAACCGCCCCATGTGCAGTCACTTAGAAGTAGCCCCCATGGCCAAACCCCAATTTCCATTGAGAGCTGGTGTTGTGTGGTGTTGTGTGGCAGTGTTACCTGTTCACCAAAGCTTTATTTATATCCCTCCAGTAACTGCTCCCTAGTGTTGTCCCCAAGGCCACCACGGACACCAGAGCACACTGAATGGTCTGTGAAGAAACCAGCACCACTAATAAAGCTGTTGTCTGGCTGGACCCATGATGCCTAGGTGGTCATTTGTCTGAGGTGGGGGGGGGTCTGTTTTCTCACTGGGGGTCAGCCTCCTGTGTGTGGCCTCAGCCCTCCATTCCTTGGAGCTCATTGCCTTCCTCCCAGGCCCCACCCCTCCCAGCACCAGCTCTGGAATCTCAGAGTTGCACATGGGGCCTTGTATTGTAGTGGGAACCCTGGGACCCCACTGCCCCTATGCTGCCTGAGTCTTGTGTGCCTCCCCTCGGCAAGGGCTCTTGTCCGTCTCTGTGCTTAAGGGCCTAAGCAGACGATGGGTGGGGAGAATCTGCACTGCCTGGTCCCATCCCCTGGAAAGAAGGTCCAGATGCCACATCTGCTGGGAGACTTCCCAGCTACTCAGGCGGGGGCTACTTGGAGAGGCTTGTGTGGATGAGGGTCTGGGAGGCAGTGTGTCAGTGGAGTCAGGGAGTGGTTGTGTAACTGCAGGCAGCGGTGTGTGTGTGTGTGTGTGGTGGGGCACATGTGCATGTCTGTTTTACTGTATGCATATGTGCTGTGAGGTTCTGTGCACATCCATCTGTGGTGCTGTATGTAGCAGTTGATATGTGCTATGGAGCTGTCTTTGTCACCAGGATATGTGTGTGTGCTTGTGACCCAGCTGTCTTAGGTGTGTAGGGGTACACAAATAGCCACCAAGGCCTCTCCAGGGACCAGGACTCCACCCCCTGCCCACCAAACAGCCAGAGGTGGCGCCTGGGTTTATCCCTGAAGCCCAAACATCTGTCACACCGCACAGGGAAGGCAAAGTGTCCTGCCAACAGCTGCAGCCTATCATACAGCTCCCTGAGGCCCCTGGAGGAAGAACCCGGCTCCAGATGTGCAGAAACACCAGCCAAGAGCTTCAGCTTCGGAATCTGTCTCGGCCTGGGTCCCAGAAGACGGGGTTACTTCCTGCCTGGAAGTAGGGGAGAGGACCAGCTCTCCCACATAGAGCCACATCAACTCTGCCTGTCCCACAGATCCCTAGGCAACCTTCAGGTCTCCAGCCTAGGCCACAAGGACAGCCTTGATACAGTGATGAGGCCACTCTCAGGCCAGCAGAAAGCACACTAGCAAGATCTGTGAACCCAGACCCACTATGGCATCCTAAGCAGGACCTAGGCCTTGGGCTCTCTGAGGCATGTCCTTCATAGACCCAGCAATAAAATGCTACACTTGATTACAACCGCCCTCTGCTGGCAATCTATTTATAACCAGGGTCGACTGCACGGGAGCCCTGACCACTCCCAGAAACCCTGGGGAGTGTTGGGGACACACCTAGAGCCTTCCCAGGCCCTGCATATTACTATGAACCCTCTATTAAAAAATGTCGACTTCTGAGGAGTGACCCTAAGGCCCACCTGGCACCCAGGGACAGAAGTAAGCTCCTGAGTGAAGGTAGCTTGCAGGACACCAGGCATCTGTTGGACTGCAGCTAAGGTGTGTCTGGTCCTTGTGGGCACAGGGAGGCAAAAGGATGGTCCTGTCCCACACAGCCCTGAGTGGCCCAGAAGATTTTGTGCCAACTGTGTCACCTGGATGGGGGTCAGGATGTCAGCTCTGCTCTGACTGGAGAGGTCTGAAGAGTTCCTGTGGAGAACAGGACACATCCCTCACATAGGAGCTGGGCAGTGTAGGGGTGTCAAGCCTCACCAGAAGTGTTGACGGAAGGTGGGTTCCAGGAGGGGAGGAAGAGCCAGGAGTCAAGCTTCAGATCCTGGCTTCTGCTAATCAGCTTGGTTGACCCAAGAGTCAGAGGGGACAAGGCTGAGTCCACCAGTGAGGGTCAGTCACCCTGCAGCCCCGAGGTTCCCGCACTGTTCCCAGCAGCGCCCAAGGCACAGGTATTAACTTGGAACCTTTGGTTGGCCCAACCCAGCCTCCTGCTACTCTGATTCCTAGAAGCCACTAGTCCTCAGGCGCACGAATCCCGTCCCTCATTGTCAAGGATGCTAACATGACATGGCTTCCTCCCTGACTCCCCATATCCCCTGTCCTGTGTTCTCCACCTCCAAACGCCCCTTTCTCTGGCCTGCGAGGCCCGCCCTTCAACTCCAGGCGGTTTAGGGGCAGCCGCGCGAGTGACCCAGTCCCTAAAGGCCCCAACGTGGGCGGGTCCCGTCGTGCGCTCTAAGGGACTTCAGTGCGGCTGCTGGGGCTACGTGGCTGCCGGGAGTGGGGGGCCAGCGCGACGCGGCCGGGAAGGCGGGGCGCGGCCAGGGGGCGGCGCGGAGGCCCCGGCAGAGACATGCGCCGTGGACCGCCCCCCCGCCCCCGGCCGCTTGAGCTCAGCCAGCGGAGCGGCGGGAGCCGAGCGCGGCCGCGGCGGAGGCGGTGCCCAGGGAGGGAGGGCGGCGGGGCCGAGCGCAGCGCAGCGCTCTGGCCATCGGCAGCCGCCGCCAGGATGCCCCGACCCGCGGGCTGCTCCTCCGCCAGCCACCCCCGCAACCCCTGGCGGCGGGGTCTCAGTGCCAGGGCGCGGGAACCGCAGCCGGAGCCAGAGGCGGGAGCAGCGAGCTAGAGCCTCGGGCGCCCGAATGCTGGGTGAGCGCCGCCGCCCCGGCCCAGGGGCACCGAAGGGGAAATCCGGACGGGAGGACGGGACAAGAAGGCTCTGCGAGCACCTGGTGGGACGTGGGGTTCGTCGGAGTGGCCGTGGACAGCCTTTAGGGCCAGATCGCCCCGCCACCACCAACTTGGGGACCTTCAGGGTAACTTCTCCGAGCCAGCCTCTCCCTCGGCTCCCCGCCTCCAGGGCTGGCAGTGCAGTCCTTGGCTGCTGGCAGCAGGCAGGCGTGGCTACTTTATGAGTCCCAGGCCCCTATGCCCAACGCAAACTGAGGGTGCGGGTTTGAGGCACAGTCCCACCCCTAAACTGGCTCCCCAGGCCGTCGCTTGGACGCGCCCTCGGGGCTGGAAACTGGAAGATCTGTAAGAGCCAGGCCGGCAGGGATGCGCCTTTTAGGGGCGGGTAAAAATACCAACCGAACCCCGGGAGACCGAAACCTATAAGTGGGGTATCAAGAGGCGTGCACTGCGCTCTGTGCCCTGGGCCGCCGTCCATCTGGGCCTTTGGAGACCTTTAGGCAGACCGGAGGCCAGCTAGGAGGCGAAATCACCAAGCGTAGGCTTTTCGGAGACCGGTGGGCGCAGCCCGAACCCGGGGAATCCTTTCAAGTTCTGGGTTCTCTTTGTTGCGCAATACAGCCCCGGGGCTGAGCGGCCTCATTGGCCCGGGGTCGTGACGTCACGGCCTGGCCCTGCCCGCCGACCCTGCGGAGGGAGGAGGCTTCAAGGCCTGTGAGGGTCTCTGGATGGTCTCACCTGCTTAGTGGCCTGCCTTGGGGGAGGGCGATTTGAGGGGGTTCCCGGTACGGAGGTGGGAAGCATCCTCCTGGAAATGTTGGAGACGCTTGGAATCCATTGCAGAAGGAGCTTTGCTGACTAGAGTCGCCTAATCGCGGTGGGGCCCAGTGGGGTCTGGGCCCCAGTGACTGCTGCTGTGGGCATCAACCGCGTGTCCCCACCGGCTCTTCACTTAAGAGGATCTAGTATCCGTCCCCCTCCCCAACTCTACAGAACATCCCTCCCCTCCCAGAATACAGCCTCCAGGATTCCTGGGGTCAAATATGGCCTGTCCTGGCCCATTGCTCCCAGCTGCCCTCAGCTTGGTTAGGATCTATCCTTCAGGGACGAGCAGCTCAGACAGCCCTTGCTTCTAGGAGCAGTGAAGTACCTTGTTGGGGACTTTTTAGAAGGACTTGGAGACCATGACGTCGGTGTCTGGTGCACGCAGTTTGAATCCTGGCTCGGGTTCATAAAGATGTTGGCAGGTGATCTATCTCTCTGCCTCCATCGAAATGCCTTTCTGTCATGAGGATGGCAGCAGTACCACCCATTAAAGACCGGAGAGATGTGCCTCCCTCACCACCGGTACCCGGGTCTCTGTCCTCTAGACCACTGAATTGAAGGCCGGGTGAGGACCTCGGTTTGGCTCTACTCCATGCTTCCCTTTGGCCTAGGGAAGTGTTTACTGACGGCTCACTGTGCCTCTGGCTCCGATCTAAGTACTTTGCCTGGCAGAGTGCACCAACTCTCTTCAAGAAAGGCACTGTCTCTCATTTGTGGATTAGAAAACGGAGGTGCTATGGTGGTATGAAGTAACAAGCAGGGAGCTGGGGCTGGACTCCAGCTTCCTGAGGCCAGTCCACAAAGCTTTTCCTCTCTCACCTTTGTGGAGTCTAGTCTGCAGCTGAGAAGGTTGGCTAGACCCAGATGCTGGTGGAGGTTCAGTCAGATAGGGCCTCCCTGCCGCCCACCCTAGTCTCTGCAAGCATCGACAGACCTAATGTTTGGGCAGAAGTTGCCCTGCCTGCAGCAGGCTGCAGTAGACCCTTCCTCCGGGTCAGAGTCTGGGCAGGCCTGGGGCAGACACACAAAAGCAAACAGAGTCCACAGCAGTCTTAAAGAACTGTGCAGACAAGGGCTGGGTGTGGCACACGCCTTTAATCCCGCACTGGGGGAGGCAGAGGCAGGAGGATCTCTGGACGTTTAAGGCCAGCCTGGTCTACAGAGAGAGCCCCAGTACAGCCAAGGCTACAATGAGTGATCTTGTCTCAAAATTATTTTTTTTTAAAAGAAAAGAAATTGTAGACAAGACCTGCAGAGAATGTCTGCTCTGTTGGCCGGGACAATTTGGTTTTCCCTGCCTGAGAGCTGGGAAGCGTGACTGCAATTGTCCCTCCGTCCTGGAGGCACCGTGTGAGGCTGTGTGTGTGCTGGGTCCTGAGTAGTGCAGCTAATAGGGCTGCAGGGAGCCTTCACTTAGCATGGAGACCCTCTGCATGCTGCCTGCTCCAGGGTGCAGTGCTCCACACGGGGAGCACAGGCTGGACGAGGGAGGGGCAGGAGGACCTGCCTATCAGCCTTCAAGTAGTGTATGACACCTCCCCTACATGTTTACCTCCTGCCCGGGATCTTATGT